TGGCCCAGCCCCGGCCGTTGAGGCCATTTGGGGAGTGAACCAGCAGATGGAAGATTCTCTCTGTCTGTCTCTCCCTCTCTCTCTGTAACTCCGCCTTTCAAATAAGTAGATACATCTTTTGAGAGAAATATTCTTCCTAGCAGTCTACCCGGAGATAAGTGCTGACTCCCCCTCTTTCAGGGGAGAACCCTGCTGCTCGGAGCAGGGGAGCCGCAGGCAGCACTGTAGTTGTAACGCCCAGGGGGCTCCCACCAGGACTGGGCAAGAGCGGCCCCTGTTGGGAGGGAATGGGCACAGTGCGGGGTCCCGGAGCTAATGCCAGGCCTGGCCACCTGCTCCCACAAGCCTGCTGGCCGTGTGATGGTCACCGCCCTCCCTGCCCCCCACCCCCACCCCGGCTGTGCAGGACACCTCCCGATGGGCCGCCTGCGACAGCACACAGCCATGCAGGAAGCACTCAGTGCCTCCCCGCCCTGCTGTCTGCACGCCCTGTTCTCCCCGGGGTCTGTGCTCTCTGCCTGTGGGTTCTCCCGAGCCGCCTGCACCCCAGCTGCAACTACTCTGTGCAGCCCTGCGGACTCAACTCCTCTCCACTCTCCCTCCCTCTCCCTGCCTTCTTCCACTCTCCTCCCTCCGTGGGACTGGGGCCAACACAGCCAGCTTCAGCATTGTGTGACCCTGGCCTGCAGACGCTGAGCCTGCCCTGCGGCTCGGTGCCACCTGCCACAGTCCCCATCTCCCCACCTGCCTCCCAGTAGCCTCCTGAGCACGGGCTCAGGCCTGCCGAAGGCAGGGGTGCCAGGTCCTTCCCGGAAGAGCAGGGAGAGGCATCATCCTCTAGAGTCCCCCCCCCCCCCCGGCCTCCTGAGGGCTTGGGGCCAGGGCTGGACCATTGGGACCAGCTCCCACGGTCACCCTGGCCCTGGGGCTCGTCTGCCCGGGTGCCGTGGGGGCCCAGGCCTCCCCTCCACCCACCCAGGCTGCAGGCAATAAGGCCCCTGTGCCTGGGCTGGCAAGAGCTGCTGTCTCACGCACACGTGCATGCACACACACGTGCATGCGTGAACACGCATACAGATTTCGTTCTGAGAGCAAAGGGGGACTACGCTATGCACAGTTTTTGGCATCAGTATTCAAACTGACGCCTATGTGTGACCCCTCGGGGACGCAGACAGGTCAGCCTGGCCCCAGCACAGACCCGTGCGAGCGCGCACGGGACCCGGGCTTGGGGGTGTGGGACACTTTCCCGCAAGTGGAGAGGGGTGAGTCTGAGCTGAGACCAAGGGGAAGCCGGTTCTGGCGAACAGAGGGCTCTGCTGGTGGAGAGCCCAGGGTGAGCGGGGCCGGCGATCTAGGGACAGAGGGGACAGGCTAGCCGGGCCACATTCCGTGTTCACCCCGGGGCGCTGGAGCCCTCCCAGGGTTCCTTGGCTCCACTTGCCTTTGGGAAGATTCTCACCTCACAGGTGGGTGAGGCCGTGGAAGGGACCACAGCCACCACCCGCAAGGGGGTGGAGGCCGGGTGGGGTGGAGCCGTGGAATGGGCAGACAGAGGCTGGACGGCAGGGAGGGGCGGGGGAGCCTGGGGGCCAGGTGTGCATCTCTCCCCGCTACTGTGCAATAACAGAGCTCCCTGGGTCCGAGCCTGGGCTGGGAGCCCCTTCCTGGTGGGCCCCGCATTTCCATCCACCTGCAGGGGCTGTCCCAGCCCCACTGGTCCCAAGCCCAGGCAGCCCAGGGCCTGTCAGGTGTGGGAGATGGAGGAAGGACAGGCTCCACACGCGGCGGGCAGGGGCCACTGGCCAAGCCACGCTGCGGAGGGCCGAGGCTCTGCAGGGGGCAGTGCTAGGATGGCACCCTGGTCCCGCCCCCTTTGCCTGGCACTCAAGGGAGCCCGGTGGCCTGGGGGACCCTCCCCCAAGCACCTGTCGGTCCTTCCAGGGCTCTTTCTACGTCTCTCTGGCCCCTGTGTCTCCCTCTGTCTCTGGCTTCCTCGCTTTCTCCCTCTCCCTGTCTCTGAAATCACCTCCCCAGAAGGGAAAACCATTTATCTTGGGGATGGCCAATGTGTGCCTGGCCCACCAGGGAGCCCCAGGGACTGGCGAGGCTGGGGGGACAGTCCCAGGGTCTCAGTGACTCCCGCCAGATCCGCCTAACCTCAGGGTCTCCTGGTCCTCCCACCCCAGAGCCCTAATTTACGATTTCCCGACAGCCTCCTTCCTCCCTCGCTCACTCCCTTGCATCCCCGGTGCCGGCTCAGGGAGGCCGGAATGAGCTGGGGGAGAGGAGCAGCTCCCTGGAGCATGAATAACTCGGCAGCTGCAGGCTCCAGCCGGGCTCCCAGCAGGGCCAGCGGGGCAGCCCCCGTGCCACAGCAGGCCCGGCTCTTTCATGGCGTCCGGGCGCTGCCCAGCGTCCTGGGTCTGGGCCCCGGGAGCTGTCGCTGCGGGCTGCGGGGCAGCTGCCTCCTCACCTAGAGAGTCGCCATCAGATCAGGTGCCTGGGCTCCTGAAGCTGGGAGCGGGGTGAGGGGGCCGTCCCTGCACCGCCCCCCGCCCCCCCCCGGGGGGGCCCTGAGCTGCGGCCCAGAGGGAGTGCAGAGGGCAGGAGGCTGTGGCCCAGGTTTGTTTGTGAGGAGGAGAAAAGCATTTCCTGTTTGGACTAGGCCAGGCAGTCGGGGAGTCTGCACCAGCCGGCCTCTCCCAGGCCCAGCGGCCCGGCCCCGGGTGGTCCACACGTGTGCGGCTGCAGGTCTGGGTGTGTGTGTGTGTGTGTGCGCGCGCGTGCGTGTGCGTGCGTGCGCCCTCTGTCTTACCCCACCCTACACCCTTGCAGGCCTCAGCCAGAGGAGGTAGTGCAACCCAGTGGGTAGCGCGCACCTCGCTAGCCCCGGGCCTCGGGTGAACCCACTGAGTCCCTGAGCCCCGCACCTGGGGACCATAAGACTAAGTCCCGGGGGCGGGCACAGGGCGGGGGCAGGGAGGAAGGCAGCAGACAATGCAAGCAAAATGCTTAGCACAGCTCCTGGCCCGCGGTCAGCGCCTGGGGAACGGAAGCTGCCGGCGCTCTCTACACGCGGTTGTGGTCTGGCCTTGGCCGCCCAGAGGACCTGGGGGGCGGGGGAAGAGGAGGAAGCCCTGCCCACAGGGACAGGCCCCAGACCTCAAACCAGCGCTCCCTCTCCTCCCTGTCTCAGCAAACACTGAAACCTCAAATGACCAAAACCCCCAGGCCCCGCGGCATTTCCTGTCTTTCCAAAAGGCAGGCTGACACCCACCGGGAGAGCGGCTTCCGTGCAGAGGGACCGGGGTTAGGGCCTGTGGGCTGGCCTCGGCGAGGCAGAAAGCACAAGGCATCGGCATCGCCTCGAGGTCTGGCTGTGGTCACACAGGAGACACCCACCCCACCCCACCCCACCCCACCCAGCAGGACTCCCAGCCCGGGCAGGCCCCTCTCTGGTGTGCAAATGTCGATCACAGCTTTGACCACCGCGTGGCCCGAAGCTCCCTCCCACAAGTCCAGTGGCGTCAGTGGAAGGATGTGGGTGCCTGCTGTGGGTCCTGGGGCATCTCAGGAACATTGTAAACAGACCCCACAGGGGCCCCTTCCCCTGCAGCACCCGTCGGGGGTCCCGGACACCCCACAGTCCCGCCAAGGGATACACACACACACACACACTGCTCGGCAATCCTTGCTCCAAGCTCACCTTGGGAGATGGTTTTGAATCTCAGCCACTCGCCCAGGGCCTCAGGCAGACCTGGGCTCCTCGGGGACATGACCCAGGAGTCACCGGGATGGTTAAGCTAGCCAGGAGGCATGAGGCTGGTCAGAGACGGCACCTCTCTCAGGCGCAGCGTGATACAGGGAGCAGCAGGTGTCTGGGCCGGGGCGTGGCCGATAGCTCAGCCCTGCCCACAACTGACCTCCTGACAAATGAAGCCGGGCGCTCAGGGGCGGGACTCCCCCAGGTCCCTTGGACACTGAGGCGGAATTCAAACCCAGCTCTCTCTACTCACGTCCTCTCTAGGGGGCACCAGGGACGGCCCCTCTGGGACTCAGGCTGTCCCCCGCAGTGTGAGGTGGGGACGAGCCTTCTGCACAACACCCCGGGCAGAGGGGGTTGGGGGGCTTTGTCCCCAGGGGCTGGGAGTCCTGGGTGCCCTCCGATGAGCGGCCAGCTCCCTTTCCATAAGCACCCAGCTCCGTCACAGGCACACACGTCACCCACATGCACCCAAACACACCTCCCGCGTACAGACGTCCGTCCCACACGCACCCCATGCCCACTCGCCACAGGTGCGCCCACACACGCACAGCCCTCCCCCACACCCAGAAGTCCATCCAAGTACCCGCAGATGAAGAAACTCCACTCAGAGCCAGCCCCTACCCTGCGGCAGAGGTGAGGCCGAGGTCCACACTCCCCCCTAATCGTGGTTCAGAACTGACACCCTCCCAAGCCAGGAGATGCGGGTTCGGGTCCTGATTCTGCCAACCTGATGTTGGGAGATGATATCCCCGCTCCGTGCCTCAGTTTCTCCATCTGCAAAATGGGGACACAAGAGGACTTCAGTTTTTCTCCTCTAAAAGGGGGATGAGAGGGTGGGGTACTGCAGGCGCTGGCGGGCTGGCGGGGCGGATCCTGCGGGGTTTGGGGTACGGAACCTGCACAGACGTGGAGAAACGAAGGTCCCCCACAACACTCGTACAGGCCTAGCAGATTCCAGTCCTGACTGCGCCTGGGACCGCGACCCCCGTGTAACACGTGGGAGGCCACCTCACAGCCGTGGCCCCTACCCTCCAGAGAGGCCACGCGGGCTCAGGTGAGCACCTGGCGGGCCTCCTGGCGGGGGCGCCCTGGGCCCCCGGGGCTCCTTCCGGGTTGGCGGCCGCGGCGGCGCAGGGGGCGGGGGGCCGCGCCGAGGGGCCGGGCGCGGCCGGGAACGCGCGCCCCCGCCCCCCGCCCGCCTCCTGCCGCCGCGCTGCGCACCAGGCTCGGCGCGTCCGGGGCGGCGGGCGGCGGGCGGCTGCGGGCGGCGCGGGCGGGGACGCCAGGCTGGGGGCCGCGCGCGGAGGGCGCCGGGCGCAGCATGGGCGGCCCGCGGGCCTGGGCGCTGCTCTGCCTGGGGCTCCTGCTCCCGGGAGGTGGCGCCGCGTGGAGCGTCGGGGGAGCTCCGTTCTCCGGACGCAGGTAAGGGCGCCCCCTCCCCCGCCTCTGTGCCCGGCCATCCCGGGCTGGGGGCACCGCGGAGGGGTGCCGGGCACACACACACCCACCTGGGGCCGAGCCCGGGGTCGCCCTCACGCGCAGCCCGGGTGAGGGCAGGGACCCTGGCCACCCCCCTCCCCAGCGGGGGCTGGAGCCCGCAGCCCCCTCTTCAGCCCGGGCACTCGAGGAGGGGGCCCAGGGAGGGCGAAGTCCCCCCGGACCTGTGTCGCCCTGGCCCACGGCCCCTCCCCCTGCACATGGGAAAGGCCCCGACTCCTTCCTCCTCCCCCAGCCCCTCTTTCGGGGACACCCCGCCCCTGCTCCTGGCCTATTTTGTACCCCCAGTTATTTCTTTCCCTTGGAAGGACCGGGGTGGAGTCCCGCAGCCCGGGGGGGGGGTGGTGGTCAGCGTCCAGGCTCCCCTGGGATCTGACGTTTGGGACGGAGACAGATGGAGCCTGTGCCCATGCGCTCCCCTCCCTGTCCACCATGAGCTCATCACATCCTGAGTGCCCCCATTCAACAGAGGAGCAAACTGAGGCTCCGGTGAGCACTGACGTCAATCTCCTAGGCTCACGGCCGCTGGCGGAAAAGCTGAGATTCAGATTTGTCTTTCTGGCCCCGATGACCGCGTATGGACCTGTCCTGGCCCCTGGCCCCAGCTGCAGCCCCTGCCCCTGCTGGGGTCCCCTCCAAGGGCCAGCGCGTTGTCCAAGGCAGACAATGTGGACTCGCCAGGCCTCTGCAGGCCTTTTCATCCCATTCAAAGCCCTGCCCGGCCCCCGCCCACTATGGCCTCGATTCTTTAATTCTTTTCAGAAATGCCCTTTCTCCGTGGTCAGAGGCCAGCACGCCCCTGCTGGTCTGTGGGAGCAGGTGACATGTGCAGGACTGGAGGATGGAGGTGGCCAACGTTATCAGAGGCCGCAAGAGCGGTTGTCTGAGACAGGGGTGGACGTGTGGCAGGTGTCACAGCCGCCACCTACGGCGTGCTGACCACCGCTGCCCTGCACCTTACCCCTCGCTTCCGGAATCTTTGTAACTGCCCTTGGAGGCCTGGTCTCTATGCAGAGGCGGATGCCAGGGCCCAGAGAGGGGCTGTGTCCTGCCCCCCGCCCCCGCCTCCTGGGTCCAGATGCCGCCCTGACACAGACTGGGAACTGGGAATGGGAGTTGAGCTTGAGGCTGGACTCCCTTCTCCACGGTTTCCCAGGAGGGAGCGGAACGGTGGCTGTCGGCAGGTATCTGGTGCTCACTGGGGCCTGCCACCCTGTCTGGCACAAAGGCCTGGGGATAAAGGGGACTGAGGCCTCCTGGGGCAAGGTGGCCTCCCGGTCCAGGCCCGCAGAGTCCCAGATCCGGAGGGAAGGAGGGGACCGAGGGAGTCAGCCTTGGGGGCTGGGGACAGTTTGCAGGTCACGGGTATCGGTCGCTGGTTAGCAGAGTCCTTAGAAAGGGGTTTAAAGCCTGGATCTGTCACCCCCTTGCTGTGTGAGCTCAGTGGGTCGTTTCATAGCCGCGGGCCCCAGCATCCCTTGTCCCCTGCCCGAGGGCTGCTGTGAGAGTGGACGGTCGCCTGTGGCCAGCACCAGCGCAGGGCTTGGGTTCGGTGGCTCCTGCCGTCTCCAGTGCTGAGTGCGGGCAGGACCCGGAGGCAGGGGAGGTCTGAAGTCGCAGGCTGCCGGGACCTCCCCTTGTGGCCCTGTCCCAGCGTCACTGGAGACAGCATGGGGACGTCAGCCCCCAGCCCGGTGCCCCAGGCACCCCTTGGCAGCCGAGGGAGAGGCAGAAAAGGAGCTTTGTGTCTGGGGAGGGGGAGGCCCCAGGCAGGCATCCAAGGGGCCGCCCCCAGCCCCGGGAATGTGGTGAGACTCTGAGACCCCCGGAACCTGGGTGCCCAGGGGCCACGCAGGGCGGCCTTGGCTCGCCCCGGGCCCTGCCAGCCCCCGAGTCCGGCTGCCGGCCGCTTCCTGCCCTGGCGAGGCCCCTCCCAGCCTGCATCCCCAGTTCTCCTTGCTTATCTCAGCACCTGGCTCTGTCACCCCAGGCCCCTAACCCCTGTAGGGGGGGCAAGTCCTGGGGTCAGGGAGAGTGGAGAGCTCTGAAAGGAATGGCCTCTAGCCCATCCCCGCTCACTGGTGCGCCCCAAACCCCAGCTCTCCGCCTGCACATGTAACTTGGCCTCAGTTTCCCCTTCTGTAAGATGCAAAGTCTGACAGTCCCGAAGTTGAGGGGAGGACCTTGTGAAGCGGGTATGGTGCTGGGGACCCCCAAATAAGTCCCAGGGACGCCCCGGAACCGCAGCCGCCAGATGCGGGGATGAGGGGTGAGTGGGGACACTGTCTGGGCTATGGCCCCCACAGTGCAGGAACCAGAATTCCCAGCACACGCTGTGCTGAGCGGTTTCGGTGAAGCCTGCCCCCGCCCGCGGACGTCCTCACAGCCCCATTTGCAGACGGACAAAGTGAGGTGCGGAGAGGGTCGGGGCCTCGTCCAGGGTCACTGATTTAAGAGGCAGCGGAGCCAGGGACTGGAACTTGGCCCCCAGCGCAGGGTTCTGGCTCTCGTCACCCTGCCCCCACCCGCCCGGCCCCGTTCTTTCCTCCGGTTTTCCTAACGGCCCTTGGCCCCAGGCCCGCCTGGCTGCCTCCCGCAATTAGCCCCTATCGCTGTTCCGGATCGCAGCCCAGGGACTGTGCAGACAAAGTCCCCTGGGCCCCTCGTGGCAGGGGCCGGAGGGTGGGTGTTGGAGGGGGACCCTGGGCGGGGGGTGGCTGGTGCTAGGCTGAGCTGGTCTGGCCTGTTTTCTCCCCTCCCAGGGGCCTCTCAGGTCCCAGGAGGTGCTGAGTGGGCAGGAGAGCAGGCCAGGGAGACAGGTGTGGCCCCGCCACAGCCCCTGCCATGGCTGGCCGGGGCAGCTCCTCTCTAAGGACACAGTAGTCCTGGGGCCGGCAGGGATCCAGGCACTGCGCTCACCTCCGGGAGCCTCGCTGCTGGCTCCTTTGTCTAGGGCCACAGTTGGTTCGCAGTCATTCAGTCATTCAACAGACATCCCTGAGCGCCCTGTACTGACTTGGTCCCTGCCCCAGCACCTGGCGGACAGAAGAGCTCAGGGCTCCTGTGAGTGGCTGAGGGCGCCCCCTGGGGATGTTCCACCCCGCCTGGGCCCAGGACAGAGGAGGAACAGGTGGGACTGAGGAGGAAGGGCCGTGGGGAAGGGGTTTTCCCAGCAGAGGTCGGGATGGGGGAGGTGACGAAGGATGCGGCCAGCAGGGCTTGCGGGGTGGTGGGGAGCCACGGCGGGCTGCGGGTTCCACTGGGTGATGGCGGCATTATGTCTTATTAATTTATGTTAAGATTTTATTTATTTATGTGAGAGGTAGAGCTATAGACAGAGAGAGGGAGAGACAGAGAGAGGTCTTCCATCTGCTGGTTCACTCCTTAAATGGCCACAATAGCCAGGGTTGGGCTAGGTCAAAGCCGGGAGCCAGGAGCTTCATCTGGGTCTCCCATGCAGGTGCAGGGGCCCAAGCACTTGGGCCATCTTCTACTGCTTTCCCAGGCCATAGCAGAGAGCTGGATCGGAAGAGGAGCAGCTGGGACAGGAACCGGCGGCTAATATAGGATGCCAGTGCCACAGGCAGAGGCTCAAACCACTAAGCCACAGCGCCTTCTGTGTTTTAGAAGTCTCCTGCTGTCCCGGGAGAGCAGACAGAGGGGCAGGAGGGCGATCGACCTTGGCCATGACCCTGGCTTACGCTGGAGGCAGCGGGGCTGGGTCCTCCAGGCAGGGGGATTAGGGGTGGTGGAGGGGGTGGGGGGGCTGACTGGAGCCCCCTGGCCCGAGTGTCCCCTCCTGTCTGCTTGCCAGCTGCCATGTGCATGTCTCCTCAGCCGGGAACTCAGAATCTCGCCCGCGAGCGGTAGGCGGGAGAACCGGACAGCGGCCAGGGCGCGGAGACTTTAATTAAGGAAGAAGAGGAGAAACTTGTTTTCTCTGGGCCCTGCTGGTGGAAGCTTGCAGGGTCGTGGAGAGTGGCAGGGCCGCCTCCCCTGGCCCGGGCCGCAGCGGGCACAGTGTGTGAGAGCACATGGCCCTGCGTGTACCTGCGTGAGCACGGGCTGGAAATGGTGGTGACGGGCCTGTGTGGGGGAGGGGTCTGTGTGTGCCCGCGGCCCTGCGTGTACCTGTGTGAGCACAGGCCGGAAATGGTGGTGACGGGCCTGTATGGGGGAGGGGTCTGTGTATGCCCGTGGCCCTGCGTGTGCCCACGTGGGCAGAGATCACAACCTCAGCCTGCCTGTGGCCCCGTGAGAGCATGTGTGTGTGTGTGCGTGTGTATGTGTGTGTGCGTGTGTGTGCTTGTACGCGCAGACACACTGGCAGGGAGGAGAGTCCCTCACAGCCCTGCTTTGGCCAGTCTGGGTCCCGTGAGTGTGTATCCGGGTGAACACATGGCATGCACATGCGTGTACCTGGACAGCCGTGTGTCTGCGGGCGTGGACTTGGGTGCCGGGAGAATGGTCATTTCCATGGCCGCGTGTCCTGCTCAGTTTGTCTGGGCTCTGCGCTTCTGTGGGTCTGCGCATGGGCACACGTGTGTGTGTGTGTGTGTGTGTGTTGTAGGTACACCATGTGTGCGCGTCTGTGTGTGATATGCACATGCATCCGCGTGCGTGGGAATTGCGTGTGTCTTTACGCATGCGTGCACCAGCATGGAGCGTTCCCTGCGTGTCCACGTGCCTGCAGCTCCGCTCTGCCCAAGGCCATCACTCCCCAGAGAACACCCCCAGGCTGCAGGGAGCCTCTGAGCCCTGGAGCTTGTTCAGCAGGGAGGAGCCCCAATTCCCATCCATTCCCCCTCCAAACAGACCCCCAGAGGCTCAGAGCCACAGCTCTGAGGTCCAGGAGACCCTCGGCAGAGGCACACACAGAGAGAGACGGGAGAAGAGAGTTGATTCTTCCACCCGTCGGTTCACTCCCCACACCAGACAGGGCTAGGCCAGGCCACAGCCGGGAGCCCGGGGCTCAGTTCGGGCCTCCCCCACTTGGGGACAGGGACCCAAGGACTTGAGCTGTCGCCTGCCGCATCAGCAGGAAGCTGGGGATAGAATGCAGACCCAAAACTCGCACCTGGGCACCCCGCTTAGGGTGTGGCCTGCCCGCGGCGCTGAGACCCGCCCCCTTTCTTATTTTACTGGAAGTGCAGTAACTGCATCTGTTGGCTTGTGCCTGCTTTCTGCCTGTTCGCCCCGTGTGGTCCTCAGATCAGCACACGGACACCTTGGGTCGTGTCGCAGCGCTTGTTTTCCGTGTCTGAGCAGCCCCGTAGCCGTTTGGGCTGTTCCCCGTTTTGTGCTGTTCCCGGTGGTGCTGCAGTACCCACCGTCCCCTCCGCCGTGGCCCAGGCCGCCCACAACTCAGCCGAGCTCCTGCTGCTCCGTGGGCGCGACGGCACGGTCCCCTCTCCCTGCCTGTGCCCCCGCGGGCCTTTGCCCAGGCTACCTCCTCTTCCTGGACTGATTCTGCTGCGACCCCAAAAGGGAAAGGACTCCCCCAGGGCCCCGTCCCGCTCTGAGCAGCTGCTGGGCGCTGGCCCCTCCGTGACAGCCGGGACATTCCAGGCGCTCAGTGGCCCACGGCCCTGCGCGGGGTCACGGGCCCTGTGTCTTTGCTGGGGCTGGGGGAGGAGGAGTGGTTTCAGGTGACCCTTCTCAACCCACCAGACATCCCCAGGTGGCCTCAAGCCCCAGGTCAGTAGGTTCCCAGGCCGGGGCCTTAGCAGAGCCACAGACCGTGGGGAGGAGATGGGAGGCGTCGGAGGCCAGGCTGGGCCGTCCACACTGCTGGGTTCAGAGCCACCTCCGTGCCACACGGCGCTTTGTCTGCATCTTCTGGGGCCTCAGTTTTCCCTGCAGAAAATGGGTGGAGGGAGGCGCCTCGCTGGCTCACCACTGGGGGATGGTGTGCATACCCTTAGCATACAGTAAGCACCCAAGACGTGCCGTGCAGTGTGTTAGTTGGCATTTGGAAAAGTCGGTCCTCCGTGCCTGGGACATTGCACGTCCCAGCTGTCACAGCGAGGGCGCACGGGGATGCGTGAGACCTGGCTTCTCTCAGAGGGCACGCAGGGACCCCCGGCTTGCTCCAGCCTGGCAGGTGTGAGGTGCCGTGGGATCCCAGGAGGGGACCCTCCGGGTCTGCCGAGATGGGGGCGAGAGTAGTCAAAGACAGAAGACGGGGGCAGCAGCCCAGCTGGCTTCCAAGTGGGGAAGTGGAGGGAGCGGGCTCCAGGCAGCAGGCTGGGTTCGAGAAAGGCCTGGCGGCGAGGGCTCCAGGCCAGGTGCGGGCTCGGGACATCCCGACCGCTGGGGAGCGGCGAAGCAAGGGCGAGGCATGGCCAGGTCAGGCTGGGAGGCAGGAGGCCATGGCGGCCCCCAGGGGTCTCGGGTAGAGAGCTGAGGTGCCCCGGCCCCTCGGCCCCTGCAGCTCATTCCCGATACCTCCCGAGAAGCACCGGTGTGCCACGGCATCCGCCCCCAGCCACGGACAGCTCAGAGACCCCCCACCACGCCCCAGGGACCTCCCGGAGTTCAGGGCTCCCTGGCTGGAGCACACGGAGCCGTCCTCCCAGCGTCCTGTCTTTGGGCCTGTTTCAGGAACTGGTGCTCATACGTGGTGACCCGCACCGTCTCGTGCCACGTGCAAAATGGCACCTACCTCCAGCGAGTGCTGCAGAGCTGCCCGTGGCCCATGAGCTGCCCGGGGAGCAGGTGAGTGAGGCCGGGGAGAAGAAGGCGCTGATGGCACTTGGGCGGGGACACCACGCGGGCAGCGGCATTGGCCCCCTGCCACTCGCAGCCCCTCTGGAGGAAACCTTGGAGGGCTTCCCGGGGGAGGAAGCCACCTTTCCCTCACTTCTGCACTCAGTGAGTAGTCACTGCTGGGGCCGGGTCAGTCCAACCTGCAGAGGCCTCGTGAGACCCAATTCCTGAGACCTGACTCCTGGCATGAAGCAGGAGACAGACTCCACAGGTGCCCAGGATCCCAGAGACCCTGGGTTAGCATCCCCCACCCACACACACACACACCCTGCCTAGGGCGTCCAGGGCATGGGATGGGATGTGGGAGACCCAGGCTGAGCGGGGCCACCTGGCACTCTTTCAGCTACAGGACCGTGGTGAGACCCACGTACAAGGTGATGTACAAGACGGTGACCGCCCGCGAGTGGAGGTGCTGCCCTGGACACTCGGGGCCCAGCTGCGAGGAAGGTAGGATGGCCCAGCTGGCCCGCGGAGGCCTGAGCCGGGGGCTGCCTGCCTGCCTCCCGCCGGGGCACAGCAGTGGTACACGTGTCCTAGTCTGTGGAAGCCACGTATACAGTGCACTCACACAGACACCTGCTACAGGGCTGCGTGTGTGACGTGGCTCGGACAAGGTCCCCCCCGGCTTCTCCAGGCCCCTGGGGGGACTTCACACTTGCAGCGTCACCTGACTTTTTTTAAGATTGATTTATTTGAAAGAATGGCAGAGGGAAAAGGGAGAGACAGACAGAGAGAGATCGAGAGAGAGGGAGATCAATCTTCCATCTACTGGCCCATTCCCCAAGTGCCTGCCCCAGCCAGGGCTGGACCAGGCTGCAGCCAGGAGCCAGGAGCTCCATCCTGGTCTCCCACGTGGGTGGCAGGGACCCAGGTACTTGAGCCGTCGCCCACTGTCTCCCAGGCGCATTAGCAGGAACGCTGATCAGAAGCGTGGAAGAGCTGAGACTCGAACCCGCGCCCATAAGGGATGCTGGCGTTGCAGGTGGCGGCTTGACCCACTGCACCATAGCACCAGCCGTGTTTTAGGTCACATCAACCCAGCTGTTTGCTCCCAGCTTAGGGAAAGCCCGCCGGGAGGTTGGGCAGTTTGTGGTTAGAGCGGAGAGCCGTGCCGGCCAGTCTGTGGCATTGGGGGAGGCTCAGGAAGGTGACGGCGAGTCAGGATCGGAGCCCTGTCTGCCTGGCTCCGCCCCAGGGCCTCAGCGGGCCCCTCTCACTCCACCAGCCTCCGGGGTGGATCAGGCTGAGCAGCCAGCAGCGGCACCTAGGAGGCATCCTGGACAGGGGCAGGCTCGCAGGCACTGAGGGGCCCCCAAGCACCCGGCCCAGAGGCACCTCCCAGGAGGGGACCTGCCAGGCCCCCAGGCAGCCCCAGAGCCTGAACCCCAGGAGGTTTCCAGAGCCCAGACGGTGGAACGCACGTGGGTGCTGTGGGTGCCAGCAGGAGCCGCCACTCCCCGGGAGATTCACACACCTCCCTCTCTGGGCCCCTTTCACAGATGGGACGACCTAGAGAGGTGGCGTGGAGGGCCCAGTGTCACACGGGGGCAGGCTGGGGCGCAGAGCTCCGTGGGAAGGAGGGGGAGGGGCAGCCGTGCGGCTGGATCAAGGCTGGGAGGCAGAACAGTGCCCTCCCCTCCCTGGTGGGAGAAAGGGGAGGGCGGAAGGGCCCCGGGGCAGATGGAGACCCAGCCAGGAGGGACACCTGCCAAGGAGGCCACAGAGCAGCCCGTGGCCAGGAGGGGCGGGGCCCTGGGGTGCGAGGGCTGCTCCCAGACAGAGGCCACTGTGTCCCTGGCTCCCCTCCTGAGGGCGTTTGGCGCAGTGGGTGAGAGTAGGGGGCAGGTGTAGGTGTGGGCAGCACCTGTGCTCTTGCAGCCAACCTCACATCCGGGAACCAGGCCCAGCGCTGGGGCTCTGCTCTTCGTGACGAAGGGGCGGTGCTGGGGCCAGGCCAGGGCCCCTGCAGGGCCTTCAGGTCAGGGGCTCTCCAGGGCTCCCTGCGCCAGGCCAGCTGTGTGGCCTCGGGCCGGGGACTCCTTGTGCATTGTGCAAGTCCTTGTGCAAGGGCACGGCTCACTCAGGGGGCGCCTCTCCCAGTGTGTGTGCGTGTATGCGCGCGTGCTCGTGCACGTGCACCTGCTGCAGCCTCCCCCTCCCCACGGAGCCTCAGTGTCCTCACCTGTGAGATGGGCAGGGTCCTGGGGTGCTTCCCTGGTGAAATGAGCGGTAAGGCCCGCAGGTGGCGTGGCAGCCCGAGGCGGGCACTCCGCGATGGCCGACGGGACGGGCTCAGAGCTGAGGCAAGGGGAGCGGGTGAGCTGGTGCCCAGGCCCGAATGTTCTAGAAAACGTCTCTGCTGGGGCCCGGGGTTGGCAGGGGGAGGTGCTGCGGGTCCCTCACGGGCTCTGCCCTTCCTCCCACGGTTGGGCTCTGGCCGGGCGTCCCCAGCTGCTTCCCCTGCTGGTCACTGCCCCGGCGGCCTTTCCAGCACTGTGGACTGACCCTGTGGCCACAGAGCTGCGTCATCGGGCCACAGAGCAGGCTGGGGCGACCCAGAGGGGGAGACGGGACACCCGCGGTGCCGACTTCAGCCCTGGTCCCCTTGTTCTCCATCTGGAAGTCCAGTGGGATCGAGATGCAGGCACCAGGCCTGGCACCTGCTAGGCGCTCCATAAGTGGCTTGCTCTCCTCTCTGCCACCTGGGCTGTGGGTTCTTAGTGAGGCTGGCAGGGCTCCCTGACACCGCCCCACCCCCCGCAGCCTCGATGTTCTCATCTGCAGCATGGGGGTGTTCACTCTGTGATGGTGAGCGGTGATGGTCTCAGTCAGTGTGCACAGCCACCCACGAGGAGGGGGCTGGTGTGGGAAAGCATAGGCTCAGAGAGGTGCGGGGACGAGCCTGGGGTCGCCCAGCACGCAGGAGCCAGGGGGAGACCTGTGTGACCAAGTGCAGGGCCTCGGAGCCGGCTGGGGCGGGGTGGCTGGAAGGCAGGGAGGGGGCCCAGGCGGGGCTCGCACCTGGCCACCTGCTCATCGGAAGCAGTGAGCAAGGGAGGATCGAGGCCAACAGGGGCAGGCAGAGGGAGCGCACGACGAGGGCGGGCAGAGCCCCAGGTCAGGGCGCGACCTCTGACACCTGTGTCGCTGCCTTGGCGGCATCCCTGGGGACAGATCTCTCACCTGTCAGCCACACTGTGCAGGTGATAGAAGTCAGGCTCAGAGAGGGTGTGGGTCTCACACCAGGCCACACAGCAAGTGAGGGATGGCGCTGTTTCTCCCCAGGGCTCTGATGTGAGGTGTGTGGGGTCCCACCTGCTGCAGATCTCCCACAGGAATAGTGACAAGAGCAAGCTGTCCTGTGTGCTGTGTCTGAGGCTCCTGGAGCCAGGCCGCTTCCGTGTGCAGCAGCCAGGTGGGGCGCGTTTAGGCTGGCCGGAGGGTCTCAGCCCAGCCTCTCCCACATAGAGAGTGGGACCAGAGTCTCCCGGCTTCCCCAGCCCCACGGGCCGGGGGATCAGGTCTCCTGTTGTCCTCGGCACACGTGGCCCTCCCTGTCCAGAGCCCTCCCGGCCCCCGGTGTTCATCCTGGGAGACCCGAGCAGGACCACGTGCCTCGGCTCACACAGCAAGACACCCCGAGATCGAGCGAGAGGGAGGCGCCAGCCCGCGCCCGGCCTGGGCCCCCGGCCTCGCCCCCCTCCTGGCCGGGTGCTACCCGCACACATCCCGCGCTGTAACCAGGGGCCACGCTGCTGTTTTCCTTGGCGGGTTGCGAGGCCCGAGGGTCGAACAGCGCTGGCGTCACCTGCCTCCACCACCCATGCACTCGCGGCACGCCCTCCTCCCTGGCCCACAGGGCACAGCCCGCCCCAGGCAGCCGTCCTCGCCTATCTGCAGTGCCTGGCACGGGCCTAGCACAGAGCGGGTGCCCAGGGAGCTCTGCCCGCCTGGAGGAGCGGCAGGCTGGACCCACACTGAGGCTTCCCGGAGGTCCTGGGGCGGGGGGGGCCGGAGCTCCTAGCCCCAGCTCTGACCCTGACCCTGCTCAGGCCACCGGCTGGCCGGCTCCAAATATTTACATTTGCAAAGCAGATTCCCACAGGAGACCTGCACTGGGGCATGGGTGACTGCAGCCCTGCGGCCTGCAGTCGGTCGCTGAGCCTTGCGGGCCTGGAGGGGTCGACTGTGCAGGAGGTAGCCCCCCGCCGCGACCCCCCCCCCCCCAGCCAGCCCCGGAAGAGAAGTAATGGCAGTGAGCCCAGACACGCCCCTCCCCCTCAGCACCCCCATCCCTGTTTAGAGCAGGCTCCAAATCCCAGCTGCCCCACCCCCAGTCCTGCTGTGTAGACAGAGCAGTCCTGCTGTGTAGACAGAGCCTCCCCTCTGCAGGCCTCAGAGTTGTCATCTGTGCCATGGGTGTCACGAGGGCCTGGCCAGAGGGAAGAGGAGTTGTTTTCTCTCTCTCTCTTTTTTTTTTTTTTTTTTTTGCGGGGGGACAGGACTAGAAACTGCACATAGTATTGCATGGAGGTCGAGACAGGAGTGATGAGAGCTGGGGTGGGGGGGCTTTGGTGCCAGTAAGTGTTCTGGGCTGTCTGGGAAGGCTTCCTGGAGGAGGAGACATGTGAGCGGCAGCTGTGGGAACTGGGGGAGGGCTTAGGAGTGGGTTGTGAATGTGAGTGTGGGGGTGCGGGGAGCCCCCCCAGCTGCTCCGGGAATGAAGCTGGGGTTTGTGGTCCTGGGACCAGCTGGCAGCCCCCAGCCTTCAAGGGTGTCCTGGGTGGGTGGGGGTGGCGTGGGGAGGAGCCCTCTGGGAGGGGCCACCAGGCTGGCAAGGGGGCTCCCTGGGGTCTGCTTCAGCTTTCTCAGACTAGACTCCATCCCCCAAGTCCTGATGTCTTGCTTACTGACGACTTCTCTGCTAAAGGGCCTTTTTTTTTTTTTAAGATTTATTTTACTTATTTGAAAGGCCAAGTTATAGAGAGGAAGAGACAGAGAGGTCTTCCATCCGCTGGTTCACTCCCCAAATTGTTGCAGCAGCCACGACTGGGCCAGGAGCTTCTCCTAGCACTGGGGCCATCTTCCGCTACTTTCCCAGGCACATTAGCAGGGAGCTGGATCGGAACTGGCGCCCATACAGGATGCTGGCAGCTTAGCCCGCCGCGCCACAGCACTGGCTAAAGGGCCATCTTGTGACTCGGTGTGTCCTGTGGCACTTCCACCTCCTCATCAGGACGTTAGGGAGTTTCGAGATAACGTTTATGGATCCTGATTCCAGAACCAATGTTTTCTGGTCCTTTTGGACAGCTGCGTTATTTCTGGACCTATCTTTTGTTTTTTATTGAAAAACATTACTTTAAGCCCTGAGGTCTGCACTGCTGGTCAGGCTAGGTCTCATGGGCTTCTCAAGTTCTCTGTAGCTCCTGGTAAAGACATTGAAGAATTTCTAACTACAAGATCACTGATTAATAACTCGGGGCCAGCCTAGTGGGAGGTTGGAACAGTTACACTCATGTAAAAGACAATGTGTGTCTGCTGTCCACATTATTTTGGATTTTTTTAAAAATGTGTATTTATGTTCATCTACCTGAAAGACAGAGATTGATCAATCTACCATCTGCTGGTTCACTCCCAAAATGGCTACAATAGCCGGGGCTGGGCCAGGTCAATGCCAGGAGCTTCTTCCGGGTCTCCCACATGGGTGCAGGGGCCCAAGGACCTGGGCCATCTTCTACTGCTTTCCCAGGCCATAGCAGAGAGCTGGATCGGAAGAGGAGCAGCCGAGACTCGAACCGGGGCCCATACGGATGCCGGCACTGCAGGTGGTGGCTTTACCTGGCTTTACCTGCCATGCCACAGCACTAGCCCCACAGATTCACTTTTTTTTTTATTTTTATTTTTTTTTTTATTTTTATTTTTTTGACAGGCAGAGTGGACAGTGAGAGAGAGAGAGACAGAGAGGAAGGTCTTCCTTTGCCGTTGGTTCACCCTCCAATGGCCGCCACGGCCGGCGCGCTGCGGCCAGCGCACCGCGCTGATCCGATGGCAGGAGCCAGGAGCCAGGTGCTTTTCCTGGTCTCTCATGGGGAGAAGGGCCCAAGCCCCCAGGCCATCCTCCACTGCACTCCCTGGACACAGCAGAGAGCTGGCCTGGAAGAGGGGCTACCGGGACAGAATCCGGTGCCCCGACTGAGACAAGAACCCGGTATGGAGCACGAGATAGGCGGCGCCCGCTCCGGGAAGCCTTGGCGCTCGCCCCCAGAATCACTCATTGTTATGTATCCTTTTTTTGGCTCGTTCACGTAGAAGAGTAAGATCAAGGACGGAAGCTGTTTTGAAGGAAGAGGA